CATCAACGACGGTTAAGAAGGCTTTAGCGAGAGTCTCCCCTTATTAAGATTTATTTAAAAGCTGGCTCGTTTAGAGGTGCAAAATAGAAAATAAGATGCTGTTTTAGCAAACGTAATTCTCTGAAGAAAGACATTTTTTATTTTTTTATTTTCTGGCTAATTTCCTAATTATGCATGTTGAATTAGGTAACAGGCTAGAAAATCCCAATAAGGAAAGTTAGAAATAGGTTTGCAAAACATCTAAATGCGAAGTTTTTAACTAGGTCTGGTAAGTAGTAGCGTTTCTCGGCTTTTTGCCCACGTAGTCCAAAAAGTACGTGAGGTGACCTCTTTTTCTGGGATAGCAGTGCGCTTTTACGCTCGCCAACAAACGATATTCTTCCCTCACGGCGTCTCATGACAGTAATACGCAGACGTAGTAGTTATTTATATGCTAATGCATTTCTCGTGCACAGAAGAAAGAGACAAGTGAGCGCTAACTCTAGACTAGTTATGTTGAAAGGAAGTGTACATCTAAATACGCGAGAACAAGCACGGAGCATCTGCAGCGTAAGTCGTATGACACGCGAACAGAAAAGATTGGGCCAAACAGAACTTAAAAAAATGAACTTCTCATCTGTTAGAGCCACCGGTGTTTGTCTGATGCATTTTTCTGCATACCAATTTATATTCACCGCTTCCGTAAGCCCACGTCTTAGTTTGTCTTTGTCTACAAACAAAATATCTGTATCACAAAACACGGGATTACAGTGTCATTACTTACAACAATCAGACAAGTTTGAAAAGTTTTTCTTTTCCTAGAGGGATAGCATGCTCTTTTATTTGTATTAAAGCGGCCAGTCGGTCCTATGTACATATTTCAACAGGTTAGCGTTATGCGATCTACCACAACTTTATGGCAATTGGTCAACTTAGATTCTTCTTTTAGGCAAGAGCTACATTTTCCTTCCTTTGTTTTGAACTTCCTGGCAACAATCCGTGAGAAAATTCATAAACTTATAACAGAACTACACAGTGCTTTTTTATCTTCGCTGACTGGGTTCCTAGAAGGTGAAGCTCAGATGCCCTGCTATCTGTTTAACCATTGTTTAAATGTAGCACTTATGTGTGGACATTAGCAAAACATGCTTCATCGCCCAGCCCCCATCCTCGTCGCTGTCCAGTCGAGGCAGCAGCCGGGTAAGTTCTGTGGTAGTTTGCACGCGGAACCGTGGGAAACACTGCAATCGCGGCTCGCACAGACGAAATCGTTTAATGCCTCTTACTTTTGGTGACTAGCAAAGTCTGGGCGTTGATCAGATGCTAGAGTTCATTACCTTGAAGTGTCTCCGCACTTGCACTAGCTTCACTTTAGGTTTTGTCCACACACATAGCGTTCGATGATACTGACCACTGCATTGAGCTCTACCCCTAATAAACCCTTAGGTGTGCTTAATGTTCTTTAAACTAACGTCGCCAAATTTGAAGCAACAAGAGCACATTTCTTGAAATTGCTGACCGAAAAACCAAAAGCTACAACAGAGGGCACTTCGATACGCAGCCCGTGATAATCGCGGCCGCATGTTTCACCTTCGCTGCTCAACCTTCTGTCCGAAATACTTGAGCGGAAAAGTACTATGCAACGACACTTTCAGATGGCGTTGCCCAATAGCTCAAATGCTCAAGCATTTCACCCCTCAAGTATGCCTATTACCTTCACTGAGAAAGTAAGGGGAGAGAGCCTTCACAGAGCGCCACCTTTACGTGTTGTATTAAGGCATTCATCTCTCAAACACAACGTGAAGGTACGGTGGCATGCGGCGACGCTCCTTCGTCTGGCGTCTCATTGCGGCTGGCAACTTAGTGAGGTGGCTTGCACGTGCATGCGTCCCTCCCCCCTTCAGCTTAGCCACAATCATTCATTGAAGAATGGAGACGCGCGCTTCGTGTTCCATTCTGATCGACCCTGTCTCAACGGGCACAGTCTTTCGCCTTAAACAATTTGAAATTTACAAATGTTTATATATTTGTTATTTGATGGGCATATCTAGTAAGCCGAAAAACACTTACGCGTACTACACAGAACGTTAGCATCTCCCCTACAGGGTGTTTTTGAAGCGGTCTACAACAATTTCATTCGAGTTTCTTGCCGAGCCTTCTTGAAAAAGTAAAGAAACGAATACTTGTGCTGTTAAGCAGAAAATAAAACATATAGAATGAATTAGTATATGCAATATTTGTGAAACGTTCATTTGGAAGCGCCGTCATACAGCCAATATTGAGATTGTATTGATTGGCTGTATTACACGATCGAAACTATTAAAGTGGCAATATGTCGCATTATGCCTTTTTCATGATTGTTACAATTTGTTATCTTTCAATGATAATGTCAGTTAAGAAACTGCAGATCTCTTGTTCACAACTGGTATCATCTACGTTGAGGCAGTATACAGGGTGCGTTTAGGGGGTGGGGTTGTCAAGAAAAGGACACCATTGCGCAATGTGAACGGATGTTTAAAAGCTCAGTTGGAGTAAGATGAAAAAAAAAATGTTGTGATATACTTACGTCGACATTTACTCATGCATTCTTCGCATGTTGGAAAAAATTCGCCAACCGTTGGGCAATACCCTTCTTTCACACGGGAGCAACTCATAAAAGCACCATTATTGAACCACATGCCTTCATGACCAGAGCAGCCCTTTTTCCTCCTCAGTCTTGCCGCGCAGCTTCCCCTTCCTGGATGTTTCGAAGCTGAAGTATAAACAAAACTGCTCAGTCACAAGTTGCCACCATCTCCGATATCATTCTTATTCAAGTTGTAGCACGAGCCATGTAGTAGAGTGCTTTATGGCGGTTGTTTGTTGCACCTGCTGTGACAATTCATATCATTGCAGGCGATCTTTTTTCATACCGTTTCTCTACGCTGCTTTCGCTGAGACAGTTATCGCCTCGGAGTAAACTATCGCTCAAAGACATGGCGCCCTCATTTAGACACGAAACTTCATTTGCCCTTTCTGTGCGCAATAGGCAGGACGGAGGCTACGAAGTTTTAACTTATGTCAAATTGAGCACTCTTCTTGCTTAAAGTTCTATACCACGACTGGTTGAACGTGACGTCGGATATAACGAAATACTTAGGCGCATTTAACAAGACATCGAGTGCTTAGCGTTTCGGTAAAAAAAATTTAAAGAATGCTTGCTACCAGTAGATATATATTTTATGTATATTAGCGGGTCGTGGACTTGCATATTTAAAGAAATAAATCGTTACTCGTGGTCCAGCACCTGCATGATTATTAATGTTCAACAAAAATTTAACGGGATAATTAGATCATCATTTATTCTACATTTATCACTATTTCAAATACTGTCTCTGTGTTTATAGCTAAACATTATGTAAATTTAAGGCATTCAAAAACAATGGTACGTTGTGTGTGTCACATAAGGTTAATGAGCTCTCTTTACAGGGGAGCTGCTATGGTTTTAGTTCGGCCATTACGCGCTTCCACACACTATCATCAGTGAGAATGGCATTAGCTTTTATCGTGCGTGCATGCCAGTAACACGGTAGGCGCTCTCTGCACCCTCATCGTGAACTTCTTCGATCACTGATCATATGCACCCAGCAAGTGCCTTCAAATGGGTGAAAGAGCAAGTGCCGAGATAAAGAAATAAAAGAAGAAATGGAAAGGAAGAAAATTCTGAGAAGAAAAAGGGTCTTCCGGTGGGATTCGTATGTTCGTACCCACGATCGGAAGGCGAGCATCGCAACAACTCGATTATTCAGGTACGCTGTACAGAGTGCAGCTTATAGCCTGATTTATACATTGTACAACTAGGGGGTGGGAAAGAGCAGTGAGAGAAATGTTTAAGGAATAGAGAAGACTGTAAAGTATTGCACAGAAAGAAAGCGGAAAGTAGAGAGAAAGAATTAATGATATAGAAAGAAAAAAGAATTTAGAAACAGCTAGAGCGTGAAAGAAAGAAAAGGCTAGATTTTTATATAATTGTGTGGAGAGAGAAAGATATAAATCTAAATTTACGGAGCAAAAAAGGACATACAAAAAATGGACTGAGAGACAAACTGTAAGACCTAGATGAATAAAGAAAGGAAAAAAAATAATAGGAAACTGGAGCACCCTCCAGCTCCACGATACTTTTTTAGGTTTGGCACTACTAAGCAACCTTCGTTTTTTTCTTGAATTTTTCATTGCAAAAGAGGGGTGCAAGGGGCTGCTCAAAATTACTTTATTTCTTATGAGACAGGAAAACCACTCAGAGGTTATCGAGTGGTGTGCGTACATTTATTTTTCTTCTAGATAATAATAACAAACATATGCCACCACTGTTGAAAAGAAATTGACACATAAATGTTTAACTAGTTAGATTTTTTTTGTTGAAATAAAGTGTGAAGCGCACAAGACTCTATAAAGTATATAGGTAGGCATGAGTGCACCCTGATAAAATAAAACAAACCATTTTGAAAGCTAGTTGTGCTTCCTACTTTTCCTTGACTGCACGATATGTTATCGTCTTTTCAGTACGTCCTCTTGTAAATCTGCAGGATGTTTCTACAGCTGCTCCGCTCTGTGACTCCGTTGGCGACTCACAAGCGGCAATTTTACGTACATTGGCACCACACGTCATAAAAACTATCAGTGCGCACCGTCACCACAAAGAATACGGTGTTCTGAGGTTGTGCCATTGTCGATGTCAGTAAATGCGTCATGTCAATCATGCCTGTAAAACTAAAATTAGCTTTTCTCGAGCTTGACAATTGCATGGATCCGCCTTTTTTTACAAGAGGTTTCTATGACCTAGTCCCCTCACAAGATTAGTGCCAGATTGCTTTACTACTGTACTCACGTGGCTTTGGCGGACGAGGTCTCGGACGTGGTCTCGGCCGTGGCCATCTACCCCCTCCAGGTCGTTTCGCCACGGTCTCATTTTTTTCTTCAGGCCCTGTGCATATGTGTCGCATCAATAATGAACAAGTGTTTGGCTGCATTATGCGCCGTTTTTATTTGGCCTCTTTTGCTTCCAGCAGGTGCTCCCACTTACCTTTCGACGATGGCCGTTTCTTTGGAGGACGAACTGGTCTTCCCGATGGCCTCCAAGGCTTTTGCGGCTGACCACCACCACCAGGTGGCCATTTCCCTTTTGGTGGCTTGGTTCCTGCGTGTTTGTGTCAGTTTTGGAATATTGCCACTTGTGTAAAAGCACGCTCCTTAAACTATGGACATTTCACAGGTAGAGCTCGTCCTCGTAGTTATCGACTCACGTAACCACTTAGATGCAAGATCGTTGTTTTCGTGGTTGCTACATCAACACATTGCTATCCCCGGCATTTAAGTTAGTGCTATTTTTGGTTAGTGTCATCGGTCAACTCTGTACGGCCATTTTTTCGTTTTTAAGCATGCGAACGTTTAATGTGACAAGTGTAGTTAGACAGGCTGGATTATTATTTACATGTCCACAAATACAGCAACAGAAGTAATGTATTTATTGGCTAAAACATTGTAGTGAGGTGTTGCTGGGACTGGGCTGTATCTAGCCTGATTTTTCTCATCTAAAAAAGCGTCATGAACCTAAAATCCATATAAATACGCCATAGGTATATCATTAAAATATTTATAGTCTTTGTGTATTTAGAGATACTTTTCTCAAAATTCATTGCGCCAGCACGTCCTTTTGATACCTTCCATAGGTACAATGAAGCAGCATGGTGTGGTGAGCACTGAGTTATGCATAAAAAGCCAGGTTGCTTGTTCTAACACATTTTTTTTTGAAATCTCACTTTCGTTGTGCCGATATGTAAGAACAGATACATGGTGCTTCCTCCGGAATGAGCTAAGTAGTGTAAAATAACGTAAATATGTGGATACTCTGAATGTCAATCATTTTTGGAGCTGCTCTCAAGTGCTTACACAACCACAGATAAACTAACATAAACTTGCAAAAGTTTCCCTCTGGAGGGTTGCCGACGACTGCGGAAAAAATATTATTTCCTGGATTTTAATAATCGAAAACCAGGACATGATTATCAGAGAAGCTGTAGTGAAGAGTCGCAGGTGTTTTTACTACCTGGTGTTCTTTAACGCTCTGTAGATTCGCCTTTGTTATGCGGTAATGTGAAAACTAGCTATGGTATATTGATAATCACTACAAAGTGTGTAGGAAACAAATTTTATTAGAATAAAACACTGCTTTACTTAAAAGGTGGGACATTATAACGCACTGACCTTTCGAAAAGTGAGATAACGGTGTCGCACTGTGGCATGAAGGCACTATCTCCCGAGAAAGAGTGAGAATGAGGTTAGGTGAAAAGCAGGGAGGTGAACAAGAAGAAAACTTCTGGTTTGCTACCCTTCAGTGGGGAAGGGAATTAGGCATGATAAGATAAGGTGGTTCTTTCCTTTTTCTCACTACCTCCCGATCGTGTCAACTGGTATTTGGCATTGAATGGCAAAACCATGAGGCACAGAGTATTACTTCTTAATTTGTGAAGAAGAAAACATTGTGAACATCGCGTCAGCAGGACACCACCTGAAATTGTGTCTTTTATGAGCCTTCATAGCATTGTAGTCAGTTCCTGTGAAGCTCACTTCACCGCAGACATCAACCATTTATTTTTGTACATTGGGCTCTCCTTGTGTTTTTATATCAATATCATCGAGTACAGATGTTGTCCCTGAACATTTGCCTACTTTCAAGAGGTACATAGTATTAGGAAAGCTTTAACACCCATTATTGCAAGTAATAGAACGGAAGAACGAGCGGGACAAGTGGGGCAATTACTTAGGGAATTGTCCAAATGATGGTAATAGTCAATTTATTGGGCAAATTTACAAAAAACGCGTCATAGCTGCAAGCTTAATTCACCTCCTTAAAAACAGGAAAAGGGGAGCTTGTCCGGCATTTTGATTGACAGATTCCATCACAAGAAGAGGAAAATTCAGAAGCTATCATATAACACTTTACCGATACTTAACGGCTTTTTCACGTTACATCCACCTTCGAGAGCGTGGTAAAATAGTTTAACCACAATATTGTGAAGACTTAGCTGAGATGTGTGTAACCTGACGCTGTGTGTGAGATCGATGGGAGCGATGTGGGAGATAATTTTTTCCGCAGATGGAAAAACTTAATGTACGCCGCTCTCCTACAAAAGGGAACATGCACCTGAATTCAGGTAGGTGGGTCTCAACAATTTTCGCCTCCACTGAAAACGGCCCACCGGAGCAGGGATTTGTTCCCGGGACCTATGGGTCAGCAATCGAGCACCGTAATTGCTACAGCACCGTAGAGGGGGGGGGGGGGGGGGGGGGGGTCAGTGATTTCAGGAAAATATCGCTGGTGATTGAAAGAATAGTTTTTTTTCTTAATAAATGAAGTAGTTATGAATTCACGTGAACAGTCGGTTATTGTGACTTGAACGCGCATCTTACGTCTCTCATAGTAATATTATGGTTTCGGGACGTTAAACCCTACATATTAATCAATTTAATGCGCATATTGAATAAGCGGTCAGAAACGCCATGCATTATTAAGAAAGATTTTTTTTCTGCAGTGTTATTATATTAGGTATTAACTTCTTGACGCTTTTTTGGAGCCCTACTTTTTTTACCAGGGTAAAAAACCTGATGAACCTACTGCAAGAATACCGTGTTCATGTCTCATAGTAGTACTCAGAGTTTCTAAATTAAAATACCACCGCTCGTGGTAAAACTTCCACAAGCCACATGCGCTTGCGGAAGATCATCGCCTCATCTGTCACGGCAGTCTATAGGCTGAGGGCACTCGGCTGCTGACCCCAAAGTCGTGAAATAGAATCCCAGCCACAGCGGCCGCACTTTCAATGGAAGAGAAAATGCTTGAGGCTCTTCCGCTTAGATTGAACTCCACGTTAAAAAAACCCCGGGTGGTTGAAGTTTCCGGAGACCTTCACGACGGCGTCTTCATTTTTATAGCTGGCTTTGGGACGTTGAACCCTAACAATTATTATTATGAATTTGATTCTTTCTAACTTTTCATGCACCAATTTCGTCATGGGTTTACAATGAAAAGCCACTTACAACTACATGGGTTTTCGACCTGCTAAATTATTATTCTCTTTGTACATATACACAGACGCTTGCCCATCTGTGTACATTACGTACATTATTCTGTAATTTCAAATTGAATAGGTGGGTCACATGACCACTTTTCATCCACAATCAGTTTATCTCCAGCCTGCGAGTTCTTGCAGAATAAGAAAAAGTGATAATTTCCTCATGATAGATGCTGAGCATGAATGTGTACATAAGTGGCTTTACATGATGTGAGCTCCAGTATGAATTTTTTCGGAGCCTTTCATTTTTACTGATTCTATGGTGCTGTTACAAGCTGACTAGTATTTATAAATTTGATTTCTGTTGCTGTTTAAGCTTCGCTGTTCTCTTACCGCCTTTTTGTGGTGGCCTTGAAGGAGGCAAGGGGACCTGCGGTGGTCCTTTTCCTGCGCCTGCAAATAAATAGCCAATTAGAGTACTTTTAGATGAGATGTGCTAAGATTGCGGTCTTTCGCATAGGCTGCGGCTTTCGTACATTAGAGCATTCCCTGAGAAATATTTCATGTACTATGGAAGTTGTGCTGGCATTACTACACTTTGCAATTAGAAACGTGAATATGACATCTGCCCTTTGTTATGTTCTTGTTCTGCTATACACACTCGACGTAGATCTCACTTTTCGTGTTGCCATTCGATTTCAGCCTGTTTAGCAACACTGTATTATTGACATGTGTCTTGTGGTCAGGATAAACTAAGGACATCTTCGAAAGTCTATATGTCTGTTCTAAACACTGAAAACCTGTTCAAGCACAGATGCTTCTCTACAAAAATTTCAAGGTTAGACTTTCGTTGTTTCCTTCCAAACCTCCTCCGTATCTTTAAAACCTCTTGCTAAATGAGTTAACCATGGTTTCAACATTGTCGCCACTACAAAAAGTCGTGTAACTACTCACATAGCGAAAAACAAGAGTAATGTAATTGCCTAAAGTGTCGTCTAAACGGTTGTCAGTCATGCTACGGTATAAACCACTAGAAATCAGAGAACCCTTAGAAACCAGTTTGATTTTACCCTTACATTGAAGGCTTTCATCAATCCTTGCCACGTGAAGGATTCTTGTGATGCGTTAATTACAATATATAATGCACAAGTGAAGAAAACGGTTATGAACAATAAGTGGGATATCTATTGACAAGCTTTTCAAAAGATCCTTTAAGTGTACCTAGGGTGGACGATGAATGGTTCGAAAGAACATATTTGTTTGCTTAAACTAAATCATTAGTTTGCATTGGATCCTTGCTATGTGCAGTTTACATGATTTCTGGGAGTGCGCATACCTTTGCAATGCGCACCAGGAGAATGTCCGCCGGCAGTAACTTGTAGGTAACTATATTAGAGCTGTATATAACATATAGGTGGTGTTTAATCCTGTAGAGGAAATAGACACTCTATACATGGTGTTAGTTTTCTGTATTTGCATGCATAGTTTCGTGTGTACGCTGGATATGTTGTCCGGCAATGCCGATGCAGCAGAAGATTTCACGACAAATACAGTATTATTATTCAGCGATAAGGGTATCAACAAAGACCGCACTGATTGGATGGAGTATTCCTGAAAACTTATTCTTTCCTAGGTTCGAAGGGTGCTATAGTTACAGACGCTGTTAGGGTGTCGCCCTATTGCAAAGTGATTTGTTCTGCGGGTGTTATGCTTCGCAAACATTATACACAGTGTAAAGTTTATTCATCATGTTTTTACGCGAATTTTCCTCATAGTCACGAAGTTCACCTAAAGGCACCAACACAAATGAAGAAATAAAATGTAGGCCTATAAATAGCGAAGTGTATCCTCAAGCACTGACGCGTTTTCATTTCATAACTTGGCTATTTGTTGAAGCTGTGGCTTAATCACTGATTCCTCGCAACTGCTTTCACCCTATAACCACACAGAAAGTTGGCTTAATGTATGATACCACACTAAAAACATTGAAGAAATGCAAATACGTGAAAGCGTATACCCATAAAAAGACTGTGTGCGTTTCATTGCTCTTTGTATTGTATGCTTTCGGTTATAATGTGTACTGAATTCTCTAAATAGTATGAGATGATGATCACAACAAGAAGATCTGTGTAACAGCAGTAAGAGCAGCCACACACGTTTTGAAGTGCACGGAACGACTGAGAAAAACAACATTCAGGCGATAACATAAGCACGCTTACCCTTGCAAGCATTCTCACATTCTTGCACGGATGCAAAGTTGTTGCCAGGTTGCGGACAATCTCCGTACATAAAATTCAAGCATGTCAGTTCGTCTTTATTGTAATACCATCTATCTGTTTGTGTGTCACAGTCGTCGCCTTCTGACGGCATCCTGAAGCAGCCTTGTGCTGCTGCTCGCACTGGAATAAACAACTTTATACATGTAAGGGGTGTTAACAGAGCTATTCGGTGGTGCTTAGTCTAGATGCTCAAAACAACTCGTTCACAATTATTCATCAATAGAAATTTGGTGCAAGTTTCTATTTACAGAAGCGAAATGCAATATACAACAATGCGAAGATGTCCGCCTTTTGACTAACGCATCATACAGTGAGAAATAACGTTGTTCCTCCTTTTTTTTTACAATCATTCAAGGAATAAAAATAATTTTTGTATACATGGTAGAGATAGTAAGTTTGCACGTTAATAAATACAATTTCTACTGTGTGTGTTACTATTACGCCAGAGTTACGTCCTGAGGACAGAACACACCTTTGCTTAAAACCTGCCACATGTGTGGCTTTTTTCATTCTCCCTGTCTCTTTTAACCCGCTATTCCCGAACCCCAGTGTAGGGTAGCATACCGGATACTGGCATCTGGTTAACCTCCCTGCCTTCCTTTTTTCTCGTCTCTCTCTCTGCCACATGTGTGCCGAGCATTTTGGTGCCAAATCGTTGTGCGTTTGGCTACCTGGTGGATTGCGACGCGCTTAGATAACATTCATATGTACCCATACACAGATTCACGAATTCATTAGGCCCAATCGTGTCGTGTGCTTCGAATGCGTTAACTCATATTGCTATCTACTTGAGTGTGTTTTATTGGTCCACTGCACTCATAACAGCGATAAAATTATGGTTACCCACTACTTCAGCAAAAAATTATCATTAACTATAGGATATTCTGCGCATAGCCACATGTGCCGATAAGCAACATTAAATATTTAAGGTGTGGTTTGCCGGATGGCGAAACAGCTAGATGGGCTACCTTCAACCGGTCTCACCCTTGCTTCTGCAAATAGATTGTGGATGGTAACCTCGCTATTGGCATGTTCGTGAGCGACAGCACTGCGAGTGATAAAGGTATACCCAGATCTAGTTTCCGCTCTTTGTGCTAATGCTTTCCTGCTTAACAAGCATGATACATACTTCTTCACTAGCAAGATGGCTTAAAGGCCGCTTTTTAAAGGGCATCACCACGCTTATTTTGCAGTGAAAGCTGTTATGTTTCACAAATCGGGTCACGCGCAGTTGTCCGCCGCCGCCGCCGCCAGTGTCCATAATCACATCACGCGAAATTAGAAAAAAGTGACATAGTGGGGCTTGAACCCGGGTTCGCTGAGTGCCAGCCCAATATAAGTACCACTAAGCCCCACCAGCGCCTGGGACTTTCTAGCAAACGCGTCTTAGGCAAGCTTGATGTCGGAGAAGTAATTGTGTTTTTATCACTTATAAAGTTAAAAAAAACGAAAGAACAACCAGTCATTACACAATGCGAATAGCGTAACGAGTGGGTCGTCTAATGCTTCAACCCAATAAAAAAGCTTGTTCTTGTTCTGTTATTAACTTTGGCACATACCCACTTCACTCATAATTTCTCATCGTCGTCAGCCACTGCATGAACAATTGACACTAAATTCCTTTCGAGCGTTTAGCGGGTACCACACTTCTCAGCAGAATGACGAAACATAGCGTAGCTAAAGGCGGCCTTCTATACCCCAAAAAATTCACTATTAATGCCCCAGTAGGCATGAAGTAGGTGGACTTGCACTAGTTACTCAATGATTGTTTCGAAGGGTTCTGAAAGGCTTCTTCTAGCTTTTGCTGTGACTGTGCTGCACCTTCCGCACAGGCCTGGCGTTTTGTCGTCGCTCTGCATGGTTAGAGGAGCCCAAGGGCATCCGCAACATTGTGTCAGTATGGCTTCCGTAGTACAGATTACAGTTCATAGTCGCATGTGCTCGCTCTCTTATTTTTTTTTATTTAAATACCCTAAAGGCCTCGAGAGGCATTACATAGGGGGAGATACTGTTAAAAACCAGGTATGCATCAATTCATATAAAAGGGACACACACAGCGATCAGACATAACTAGGTAAAAGGTACATTTTACGACAAGGATGTAACGCATGGCTCATTTCACATCTCCAGTACACTTCAATTCCAGGAATCTGCATGGCACTAGTTCTTCATCGTTTCACTAATACACGAGATATAACAACAGGGTAAGATATAGCAGCAGTAGACATATTACATACCAAGAAATGAACGCAGCACTGATTGGAATGCAGACGGATCAATTATCATCGCAATCTCGCTGGGAAGCTCGTTCCACTCGGTTACAGATAACACAAAAGGGGAATTTTGGTACTTTTTGGTCCTTGCAAATATGGACGACACTTTACGAGCATGGTCAGTGCGATTGGACACATAATGGGCAGGGAAAATATGAGCACATGAAAAAGGTGTAATACCATGATACAGAGAGTGAAAAAAGGTCAAGCGGAAGAATTTACGACGAGTGTTAAGTTCTGGAAGATTAAGAATCTGTTTTAATGCTGAGACACTTTGGTATGGCGAGTACGAGTGCAAAATGAAGCGGGCAGCCTTGTTTTGAATGGATTTAATACAGTCGGACAGTATAGCTGTGTGAGGGTTCCAAATAATTGAAGCATAATCGAGGGTTGCACGGATGAGGGAAGTGTAAGCGCGAAGTCTAGTTTCGTGGTTTGCGAGATGTAAACGGCGCTTAAGGAAGCCAAGTTTCTTTAGTGCCTTGTTTGTTACGTGTTCAATATGCATGGCCCAGTTTAAATCAGGAGTAAATATCACGCCAAGATACTTGAAAGAAAAAGTTCGTTTAATATCCAAACTGCATAACATGTATCGATTTAATGGAGTATTTGGATTCGAAGAAAATGACATGACCTTTGTTTTATCTGTATTAATTTCCATTTTCCACGTGTGGCACCATTTAGCCAGGGTATTTAGATCGCTATATTATTAGATTGTTATAGGTTTAAACAGATCGCTGTTAGTTTCAACGCGACCGCATTAAAGAGCTGCAGTGTCGGCGTCGGGGATGGCATCGTTAAGTGTGAGGTAAAATCATCCTCCTGTGTATATCTTATTTATCTCTTTCAACAAATGGCCATTTGAGAGTCAACAACTTTGCTGTGTTTTTTTTTTCTACATCCAGCGTTATTTCAAGGAAAATAGTTTTGATATGTGACTTCAAATTTCGAGATGTGAGATTGTGCAAATGTGAATAACTACGAGATAAAGATAGATAAATGTTGAAACTATAGATAGTTATGGATGCAGGGGTGGTGTTTGCGAGTACATACCTTTAACTGGTGCAAAGTACAAAACATTGTAGCAGGCAAAGAAAGGTAGCAGGGGGATTCTCATTCCTACCCAATGCTGTTTAGAATGCTTTTCCGAAAGAAACAATCTTGCATCACTGCCGGGTTCGCTTCCTCCGTCAGTGTGCGCTGCGAGACAACTGCATGTCTCCAGCACGGTTTGTAATACCTGCCTTAAGGACCTAAAAAAGGAAAGCATTTGCAAAGACTGTCAAGCTAGCCGACACAGGCATGACAGCCTTTCATGAGGAAGATTTATGTGGTGCCTCAATACATGAGAAAACAGGGGTAGTATTCATTGGTTGAATAATCTTCTTTGCGAAATGTTAGCATGTTTAGTTAGGGTAATGGTACAAGGAAAAAAAAGAAGCTGTGATAACCCGCTGTTTGAGAAACCATCCAAAAAAGTTAAACTTAGTTCAATGACTGTGGAACGTGAGTGAAGAGCGCAACTGCCAAGCAAGTGCAAGTACCTAAAAAACCACATTGAGTTCTTCATGTTTTTCTTTTTGCTTGCTCACTTTTTTTCTTGATATTTTTTTGGCATAGCCCGCTTTTTTTGTTTTTCTTTTCTTTCTTCGTCTTTAAATATTGTATTTTCTTATCATCTCCTGTCATTAAACCCTCACACCAATAATTCTGCCCCGGATTTCTCTTCCTACTTCTTGCTGTTTTTACTGTATATGACTGTTCTATATTTGACCCCTTCACCTCCTCTGTAATCTCATCATCAAGCTAATATCAGTCTCCTCCATCCACTTTTCTTTCCTATCCCATGCTAAACTATAATATGAAATACTATACCACCATTTGCCCTCTATCTCTGTTTCAAGATAACTTTCAAATTATTATTCTTCACCCACATCACCTGTTCACTCGATTGCTCTGCTTGGCTATGCTACGCTAAGAGATTGGTGGCACATATGCAGTTTACCCCCTCTGCTCTTTTCCTTGCTCCTCACCCACACTCCATGCCAGTAACCTTTACTTCGCTTTCCTGCTTCCTTGCTAGATTATACAATCAACGGCTGTGGTATTCTGGGAGCTGTATGGCATTTACGCGCAGTCTGCGTCGCACACCAGCGCAGTTTAGTGCGGACCTAAAGAGCCTTACCGCCAGCTTGAACAGCTTTGATGAAAGACAAACTTTATGCAGTGCGGCAGAACCCAGTAAACTACGTCATTTCTGTTATGCGCCGAACATCATCCCAAATGTTATAGCTCCAAAACTGAAAAGCGTGGATACTTGCTCGTTCTACCTTGTCAGTGCTCACAAAACAGTACGTGAACCAAAAGGAGATGGAGGAAACACATCATCGCTTCTTTTCGTGCACTTTACCACGTGCATGTTTAGTCACTTTTATGGCACTTAACGTAACAAATTTCGCCCTATCAGTACTAAAACATGTGAAACAGATTGCTTGAAAACGTGCATTAGCATTTCGTCAGCCACGGGCGTGAAATATATTAACTAAACGAACCTAAAACATAAACAAGGGTATGCTGCATGCTTCTCATTGTTATTTTTGAAGTAATTTTGACGCATTCTGCCTTCAGAAAGTCGGCAAGCTCATTTCAGTTTTTAAATGAGGTAACATGGAATGGACACTAAATTACCATCGAGTATTTTTAACAAGAGTTGCCAGCAAAATCATGAAAACTGCCATATACTCCCATATGAACTTCTTAGACTCATTGCGCTTTTTTTAGTCTAACCAACGTGTATTTTGCAGGGGTTGTTTCATCAAAACATAGCTGGCCATTTTTCTTTACGAGCTTCATTCTAAACTCGGCTGTAACATTCACACTTGCGCAGTATTCCTGAATTTGTCAAACCAAAGAGATTTATTATTGTCCTTGGTAAACACTCAAGTATAAAATTATCTCTTTTAAATCTAGAGATCATAATGTTCTTGGATTGGTAACATCTTTCTTGAATAATCACTTCCTATTTGTGTTTGCTATTAATTACTCTTTGAACCTACTACCTGTAATGTCAGGTGTCCCAGAAGGGTCTGTCTTAGAACCTCTCCTTTTATTTACAGTAAAAAGTTACCGCGGCATGTTTCACGTAACTTGAACATGAGTGGGGATGATTGGGTAATCTACCATTCAGCAGCCAACCTCCATTAAAAAAACGCTAACTCAGCATGAGCTTAACAACATACCAACATGCCCCACCACGTTGATTTAGTGGCTAAGGTACTCGTCTGCTGACCCGCAGGTCGCGGGTTCGAATCCCGGCTGCGGTGGCTGAATTTTCGATGCAGACAGAAATGCTGTAGGCCCGTGTGCTCAGATTTGGGTGCACGTCAAAGAACCCCAGGTGGTCGAAATCTCCGGAGCCCTCCACTACGGCGTCTCTCATATTGATATGGTGGTTTTGGGGCGTTAAACACCACATATCAATCAATCAATCAATCAATCAATCAATCAACACACCAACATAATATAATCATTGGCTAATCAACACAAATCCTAATAAATGTAAGCATGTTTCCTGTTCCCGCCCCCATAACCCATTGAGGTTTACGCATTAAGTCGCTAATGTTGCAGTAGAATAAGGTCAGTCATTGAAATACCTCGGCATCACGCTGTCTCATGAGCTGTGTTGGCGTAATTAAAGTACAAACATTATTTCGGCTGCCAATAAGTCCCTGAAATTTCTTAAAAGACTCTTGCGCAATACTTCAGCACATGTAAAATTATTGCCTATGAATCATTCGTCAGATCAAATGTTCATTATAAATTTTTCTTGTCGAGCTCTTATCAAACATATCTCATAAGTGTATTCGAATCACTTCAAAATAAGGCTACCAGGTTCATTAATTCTGCACAATCACTTAATATCAGTACCCAATTTTTAAAGAGGAAAATGGCTGTGCAATTGAATATATTCAAGGCACGATGAGAAAACTGATACAGAAACTCCGGGATCGCTATATAACTGATGAATAAGACAGTTGCTCAGCAGGCTAATTTGGCGCGGAATGTAGATGATGGTGATGTGGGTAGTGGAGCTTGGGGATGGCATTGGGCAACTCTGTCTCACGTTATAGCCGCGGGGCCGGACGAGCTTACTAATAAAACGCTAAGAAAGTTTCATTGTGAATCGGTAGAAAAGCTTTCACAATTAGTAATTATTAACTGAATGGCCGATAAGATCTCATCATTGAAGCATACAATGTTTATATTTATCTATATGGCAGGCAGGTAGCCAATAAATGAACTCTGGGTAATGAACATTCACCCCTATTGGTGCATACCCACAAATGTGTTCTTCTCAAAAAAAGAAAATATGTTACTTTCAAGCGCATGTTTCCGTGCCCATTTTTTCGTGGGAGGTGAACTAACGCTCAAATATTTAGTCATTTTCGGAGATTGTCGAATTGTGACGATGTTGGTCGTTGCGTGCAAAAGCTTGACATTAAAGAATTAATCACCATGATGCGTCCTGTTTTTCTAACGTTCCTTCTTCTGACCAAATGTACCGGTGTCTATGGATTAGCCAAAGAACGTGGATCTATAGCTCACATATCATAAGTATACTGGTTTATATATGGCTGATGTTCAGGCAAAATAGCATGTTTTGAAGTTTTCGATACTTCCGTTGGCATAGCGTCCATGTTTCCTATGCGATTCGTTTCTACACGTTGCCCCTAATGTAAAATATCAATGAACAAACCATCACATTTACTCCTGCTTGATTTATATATTGCCTAGCTTGTTACGTTGAGAGTGATAAATTAGCTACCAGAGATTATTTTCAATCTGGAGACATCAAACCTTAAGCATAAATGGAACCTTGAAGAAAAGGGGTGCTTACTGACGATCTGGGTATATCGAACTTAACAGATACGATATGAGAACGAAAGAATGGCAGCTTATAAAAAACATAGAAAGGCACTGTTGTATTTGAGTGTAAGACACATTGATATTTTTTCTATCTCCGTTTTAATGTATTGGCGGCACCTAATTTACGTGCCCTATTGGGAAATAATGTTCATTGAAAAGACAGACTGAAAATTTGTGTGAGATGCCTACCAACCATTACATCTGCCTTAAAATAAATATCGCATTCTCCGTAGAGTAGAACACTGAACATAAAAAAGGGAAGAATTTTCAAGCATCAAAGTGTAAGGCTGAGTACTGAGTGACAGGTAGTTCGCCCATGAAGGTGTTCGGCACCGATAGATATCGACCCTCGATGCGCACAAATGCAAGTTGTGCGCACATGTCAGAACCTCCACTGTTTGGCAGTGCTATAGAAATATGCATCCTACGTACTATACTAGTAAGACATCGGGTTACTTATAGCAAAAGCACCACATGTCTCATAAAATAAGTATGTAGAAATAATTAAGGCATTAAAAAAGATGCCAGGTAAGATGGCTGTATGAGAGGAAGCTTTGCCTAATCTATGAAGTTCTTTGGAGCTTTGAATCTTTAGTTATGAGTCCAACAAGATTGTGTTATAGTTAAAGCTGGTAAACTACAATGATCTTGTAGAGTTAGCCTGAAGAAAATGTGTGTGCTGCGTACATATACTTATAATGAACGCCACTTAGTGAAATAGAGGAGATGCCCGAAACAGGACAGTTTGATTGGGCTTGTTGATTAAGGTACCACCACATCCCCAGGCTATTATTTAGGGCCGGTACAAAGGTGATACATACGCAACCCTTTTTAAACTGAAATCCTGTTTTTGGTAGGCAAGATGTTCATTTTCTATATTTTAAATCATCTATAATGATACTTAACTTAATGGTTGGTTCGCATCCCAGTTGCATCGGTTATCAGTGACTGCACCAAAGAACAGAATCTTGGTTCTGCTTCGATATTTGAATTCGACTAGTGCAGGTTGAATCTCGAGTTCATTCTTGGTGAAAAAAAAACGCCTGGTTGCATTGAAACTTCTGAATGCCATTACAGATTTGTTGATGGAGACGTCTATCACCACCTTCCAGAATGCTCACAGCACGAAACACCAAGACGCCGATTAAAATAATATTCAAGTGCATTTGATGGCAGTTCATCTAGTTTAAGGAAACATTTGGCCACGTGCCCAACATGAGGTGTACAGAAGTTCGCAACAAAAGCACTGAATTTTTTTTTCCTGAAAGCATTGGCATAATTTGCTAATAGCAGTGGATTCAAAACTTTTTAAC